AAAAAAAAAAAAAAAAGATTAAAAACATTACTGTACGTACAAATTCTATATTGTGTATACAGTCCTAATTTTAACAAAGTAAATTGATCCTGGTAAAGAATTCCCAAAATCAATACATCCACAAAGTAAACCACCTATTAAAGTAAATCAATATAGAGTGGCCAGGCACAAAAGGTCACCCCATCTTGGAGCCGGCCTATTATGGACTGAAACCTCTACAAATTGTAAGCTAAATAAACCTTTCCTCCCTGAAGGCATCAAGTATTTTCTCTCAGCAACAAGAGGAAAGTAACTAAGACATCATGATATAGAACATTTCCATTTCCCCTTACTTCTTTTCCTAGGCAATTTCCCTACCCAAGTCTCTGGTTGCCTATCATTGTGCTGATTTTATTTTAGTCTTGTTTTGCCTGCTTTAGAACTGTATTTAAACATAATCACTCAATTTGTACCCTTTTTTTGTTCAACTTCTGTGGCTTAACATATCTATGATATCCATGTGCTGCTTCATTATCATTAATTCATTCCTTTTTATCGCTATGTAGTATTCCATTGTATGAATACACCACAATTATTGTTCCATTCTCCTTTTGATATCCTCTTGGGTTGTTTACTGTTTTTTGGCTAATTATGAACAACATTCTATGAATATCATGAAGCCATGTTTTCATTTCTCATTCATAAACAGAATATTATTTTCCTGGCTCAAAAATAATATTAACTTTCTCATTGTTTTTTCCTTTTATTACTGAACTGTAGTTTTTTAATTCAAAGTTAATACTTCAAATTTGTCTTTTAAAAGGAACCTTAGGGCCGGGGATTTAGCTCAGTGGTTCCGCTGCCTGCCTTGCAAGCGGAAGGACCCAAATTCGATCCCTGGTACCAAAACAAAAAGGAAGCTTAGTTTAAAAGGGCTTCCACTTGCTTCTGTGGCTGCCACTTTTTAGCTAATTTTATAGCAGATCGGCTGCTGGGGAAACAATGTAACACCACATGGGTAGGGAATATTGTGAGAGGTTAGCTGGTGAGTAACTGAAGAATTCAAGTTAGATTGAATTTACTTAAACAAGGAATAACTGTAAATCCAAAGAATACACTGACAAAATCCATTCCAGAGAGGAAAGATAAAAAAAGGGTAAAACTAAATAAAAATAAGCATTTCACATAAGTTAAAGAAATAAACCTTTGACTATTTTATATTCTAGATTACTAAATAGTATTAAATTCAAATTCTTTTTAATCTCACCTGTTTCATTGCTGTTTCACCTATTTTGTCGGAATGTTTTCGAATGCTTTCCAAAAAGTCTTTGAGATCAGACATGGAGATTTCTTTAATATCCTCACGGAGTTTAGGAAGATTTTCTATCATTAACTGACAAAACCGGTATTGACTAACCCGGGGAAAGTACACCTTCTCTAACTGTTCCATAGTTTTTAGGGCAGAATAATACCTGTGAGAAGTTAAAAAGAAAACTCTATAACAAGTTCTTATCACATGAATTTTATAATTTTAAGTACATCTAAATAATCAGTTAAGTCTCCCACAAGAAAAAATTCACAGTGGCTGGGGATGTAGTTCATTAGCACAGTGCTTTCCTAGCATTTGCAAGGCCCCGTATTTGATCTCCAGCATTGCAGAAGGTTCAAGAGTTGACAGGAATCCCACTATGTCTAGAAGTCGAAGATAAAGAAGGACTAAAATAAGGAATATGTTGAATGGATCTACCACAAAGAAATCATAATGGCTTGAGGAAATAATATATTTACCTTAATTTAAACATCACTCAATGAACACATGTATCAAAATGCTACATGGTGGTCCACAAATATGCACAATTTTTACTGTTTTAAAAAGTTAAAGTAAAAATAAACGAAAACAAAGAATATGGTTGAAAAATATGTTCAAGAAGCAGATCCCAGATTTTCTTCTCCATTCCAGGCATCTAAGCAACTGTCATTCACTCATCTTAGAAAAAAGCTAAAGAAACCAAAACAATCTCTGACTGGGGACACCATCAAAATTGATGGCAATAGTACTAGCCTGAAAATAAATTTAGTTGAACCAATATACACAAGATGCCCTCTTCCCCAACTGAGATCTCAGAATGCTGGCAGTGAGAACTTTACACTCCAGACAGAAGATGGGAAATTTCCTCCAGAAAATGTGTCTAGATAAGACCTCAAGACATTAACTAACATCAGATGCTTCCGAGCTAAAGAGCCCATCCAAAAGAGGACTAAGAGATTGTTACCTTACAATTACAGAATAAGATTGTTAACTTACAGTGAAATAATCCTTGCCACCCCAAGGATCCAGAGCTTCCAAGCAAATTGTTATGTCCACCATACTTAAATAAGACTAGTCAACCAAGAAATCACCAGAATCTGAGAAATACTTTAACAAGAAAGCCAGAGATAAAAACAAACAAATAGAAATTTAGAGGAAACATTTCACAAGAAAAATATACATCTAAATCTCAGAGAGCTAAGAGAAAATACTCTAACAATAAATCAAAAACAAGCTACCTGAAAAAGATGTTTTTGGAGTTCAAAAAAGAGTTCTTAGAAATTAAAAATTATAAAAAAAAGAAATTAAAAA